AAAACAAATATTACGACAGCGGCGGACTGTTCGGTGAATTTGGAAATTCCGGAACTAATTCACACCGGTGGCCAATATTAATTATGCCTTCTTTTTGTCACCACACAATTTCACTGTTCACTTGCGAATTTTTCGCGGATTAATTGCACCAAAAAAAATATGTATGTGCGTATGTATGTATGTATGCGGATGCACATATGCCTCGACCGTTGGCAAGCGAATGAATAACGGAGAGGCCGAAAACGGCGAGGAATATGGGCAGCACACAAAACGGAGACGGATAGAAAAATTTGCCGAATTTTAAGATTATTATAGATTATAAATAGATTATTATAGAAAATCTCAACCTGCCGTTGTGTCGGAAAACTCGGACTTGGAGTTGACACGGAGGGAAAAACAATATTGCAGCAGTGTGAACGAAATTTAATGTTCGGATCACTGCTGAAGACCGGCAGAGAGATGGGGACGGAAAAATGTACTTATCTTTTGGCGGAACAATGCCGAGAACTGCTGGCAGAAGAAAATCCAGTAATTATCCGGCTCGAAGGACCACTGTTTGTAGGGGGGCGTGGTTGCCGCAAAAGATTCCAGGTGTAGAAATGTTGAATAAAAAGTCGGGGGCGTCTTCCAGTGAATATAACGCGGTCAGCTTCATTGGGCTGGTTACATCGAATACTAATTTAAAAACTAGTACAAAAAGAGACGATCGACGACAACCAACGAGCGAGAGAGAGGGCACAGAGGGGCGAGTGTGGATGCGCTCTTCAGCGCGGGTGCGCTCTTTAGCTGAGCGGCACAACGGCCCCTCACCTAAACAAAATCGAACCCAGGACCCCATGAATAAGGACCGCGCACTATCCATCTAGGCTACCCTCGAAGTTGATTTTATTATACTTAAAATTGGTCTTAAAGAAGGCGCTAGAATCCATACCAAAAACAGAGCTGACGAGTAAGGATAGTAAAAGATATTTCTGATCTCTTTACTCTCACATTGGTTCGATTACAACGTTTCAAACTTTCATCGTTTCATAGATGTTACGATCTAAAAATAGAATCTCTCTTTCCCTCTCTCATCTGCCAGCCGTTTGTCGTGGAACCCGCTCTCAAATGTTTTCATTATTACAGCGGGTTCCACGACGGAAAAAATGAAAACATTGAGAGCGGGTTCCACGACGCAGCCTGCCAAAATGCCGTGAAACCCGCTCTTATAGAAATTTTTACAGCGGGTTCCACTACGAACTGAGACAATGTTAAGGTGATTTTACAATTTTGTATTTTTTTTTTATTGGATTATAAATTTAGGAAAACACATTAAAAGAATAAAAATATAATATAAATAGATTTAAAATTTTAAAAAAATGGATGTCCCGAGCCTGGTTTGAACTCGTTTTACTTTGCACACAAGCCAAGCACTCTACCACTCGACTATTCCTCATTCGTTGTCGCGCGAAAAATTTCTCAAACTTAACTTGTCGCGCAATGGAACTCGCTCGTTCCAGCGGGTTCCACTGCTGGAACCCGCCATAGAAAATTTTTCTTTGTATGAGATGTCCCATCTATGTACTTTATAATCTTTGGTGAGAACATAGAATTAAGATTTGATTATGAATTGAACTATTAATTTACTAGGAATTTAAAGGGCTTATCACTGCTTAAAGTGTAAAAGAGGTTACCGACTGTACCACTGTTAGCCCTTGCTGCCCTGTTATGAATAAAGGAAACAAATAAACAACTATCAGCATCTACACGGGCGTCTTTACTGGGGCGGCGCTATAAACTTCGAATACCCGCAACAGGGGCTATAATCGACACAAAAAAGGGAGTTATACAATATCATGGGAAGAGGAAAAATTACTTTTTCATAATAAAGTGTGTAAAGAAAATCTTTGCCGCACCGAGGAAAAATGTAGTCACCCTCTGAACGAAATCTTAATAAACAAATATTTTAACAAGTTCAAACAAATTCAGTCTGCGTCGAAACAAGCGACTATGACTACAATTCCGAATCAGAGCGTTCAAAGGATTTTAGTTCAATAAAATCTTTCCAATCCAAAAATGAGGATCTAAGATCAATAACCTAACAATCTACTTCAGGCAACAAAAAAAATAAAAATCAGTGCCTGAACAACATAAAATTGAAATCAGAAAATTATATGGAAGAATTATGAAAAATAATAATAAACCATATCAAAGATGAGCACTCTAAAATAAATATGCTAATTCCTTTCCTCACTGATATTAGAGGGGAAATATACTTAGCACATGATAGACCCGTATATGGAAAACAATACCCATATGCCCAATCCGTAGCAGAATTTGTTAATAAATAAATTAAAAGAATGTCCGAAAAAATCATACAACCTAGCTGGAGTCCGTATAATTCTCCAGTTCTTGTAGTTCTGAAAAAAGGATACAATGAAGATGGCAGTGCAAACTAAGACTTGTCATTGATTTTAAAAAATTAAACGAATACAATTCCCGATAGATACCCTATGCAGGATCCATCTGTTATATTAGCTAATCTGGGAAAAAAAAAATTTTTTTCCACAATTGACATGGAATTAGGTTTTTATCAAATATTAATGAACAAATCCTAAGCAAGGTTAAACTTGCTTGAAATTTATTACTAAGTTGCTTTAAGAAAATGTTTAAAACACAACTTATGTTACATTGTTATATAATTGGAATATTATAATTGAATTATTATTAAATAACCAAGGTTTTTGCATATTAACTCTTTTTCAATAATTATTCAAATAAAAACAAGAAAGGAAAGCTAACTTCGGGCGGAGCCGAAGTTTATATACCTTTGCAGTTAAAACCGGATATATATCGCAAACATCGGATATAGTTGGCCGATCCTTATGAGAATAGGATAATATTACCCAATTTATAATAATACAAAATTTAAAACAAGTTCCAAGCTTCTATCTTTAAAAATACCAAAGTTTGTATTTCTACCAAAAACCATTTCCGATCGTTCAGTTATAAGATATAGTCCACCGATCGTTATGAAATTTAGTAAAATAAAATTTGGTGAAAATACAAATTTCAGCTTTCTATCTTCAAAAACACGAAAGTTGAGTATAGTCGGCCGATCCTTATGAAAGGCATGTCGTATTATTTTGCCAAAAATAGCTCTCATGTAAAATTTAACTAACTAACTCTAACTCTAAAAACACCAAAGTTATACCATTTCCGATCAATCAGTTATATGGCAGCTATAGGATATAGTCGGCCGATCCTTATAAAAATTGGCATGTCGTAATGTTTTGGCAAAAATAGCTCTCATGTCAAATTTGAACTCTCTAACTCTAACTCTAAAAACACCAAAGTTATACCATTTCCGATCAATCAGTTATATGGCAGATATAGGATATAGTCGGCCGATCCGGGCCGTTCCGACTTATATACTGCGTGCAAAGAAAAGAAGAGTGTGTGCAAAGTTTCAAGGCGATAGCTTTAAAACTGGGAGACTAGTTTGCGTAGAAACAGACAGACGGACAGACGGACACACGGACATGCTTATATGCTTATATCAACTCAGGAGGTGATCCTGATCAAGAATATATATACTTTATAGGGTCGGAGATGTCTCCTTCACTGCGTTGCACACTTTTGACCAAAATTATAATACCCTCTGCAAGAGTATACATATGAACAACATTTATGACATTTATAACAACAAATATGAACAAAATACAACAATAGATTAAATCGTATAGGGTTTTTCAATCAATGCAATGTGTATATTTTCGTAGAACAATATTTCTGGTAGTTTCAAAAAATAAAAAAAAAACAGTTATATTTTTGTTGATGTTGTTTCACTGCTATTTCTAGTAACACAGCCGTATAGTTGTTATAGGGTCGAAGATGATGATACCTCTGCAAATGTAGAACAAACCCAAGCCAAGCGACATCGGCGCCCAGCTAAATTCACTGTCCAACTGAGTCAGCCTTCCGTATTTCGGGAGCACTATAGAATAGTTTGTCGTTATCAGGACACAACGGCTATAAGGAGCTCGCTATTTCATATTTCAACGTTTTACGAGCTCCTTCACTGCGTTGCACACTTTTAAACAAAATTTTAATACCCTCTGCAATGGTATAAAAATATGAAAAAGAAACTTAACCTAATGACATGTCCACCTCAGCAGTATGCACAAGACGGACATCATGCCCACTGAAAGGCCGAATACCAGTTTACTCATTGAGATTTTTCAATGCCAATTTAAATTCGCTCCACCAATAAAAATTTCAATTACTCTTTTACGTATTCTGCATGTAGATAAAATTTGATGATACAAAGAGAGGCCAATTAATAGTGTGAATGCAGGGATATAAGTAAAGAGAGACCATTCCGACTCAGACATTGCGAAGCTAAAGCTCTCGATAACCGAAGGGTGACCCGACCTAGACATTGCAGAGCTATTGCTCTATGATAAGACCCATAAAAGTATATTTTATTAACTAAATCATCCCATATTATTACCAAATGTAAATAAATTATATTAAACAAGAAAGGAAAGCTAACTTCGGGCGGAGCCGATGTTTACATACCCTAGCATATAGGGGTATATATCGCAAACATCGGATATAATTGGTCGACCACTATTTCATAATAAAACCATTACAATAAAAAGTCCAAAAAAAAGTCCCAAGCTTCTATCATCCAAAATACAAAAGTTGGTATTTTAACCAAATATCACTTCCGATCGTTCAGTTTATGTTTTATAAGATATATAGTCGGCTGATATTTTTGAAAATTGGTAGGTCAGATCAACTGACTTAAAATAGAACCTGTTCCAACTTTCTATCTTCAAACACACGAACATGGACATGCTCATATCCCGATCAGGAGATCTCAGGAGATGATCCCGATCAAGAATATACATATATACTTTATAGGGTCGGAGACGTCTCTTTCACAGCGTTGCACAATTTTGGAAAAAATTATATAAAAAAGGGTATAAAAAGTTAAGGGAGTAACACAATTTAAAAATATTTCCATGCATTTTATTTATAAGTTCAATATTTCACTTATCAATGATACTATCTCTACTCGTATTTATAAATTTAAAAAAATTTGTTAAATGGTCATTCCGGTAATCCATTGCGCCCTCGTTTGTTTGGCAAGCCGAAAGAACTTGATGTGCTACCAGTTGCACTAGGCATTTTATCTTGGGATCTTTTTAAACTTTGTGGGTTTGCCGGTGATTGCATTTTTGTAGCCATTGGATCTGAAAATTTAAAAAAATATCAATATCTTCAAAATTTAAAATTTTAAGAGTTTATTTTTAAAAGTCATACCTTGGAGCCATCTCACTTGAGTAGCTGGTCCGTAACCCTTTTGGTTGCGAGCAGCTATCCGGAATATAATTGCAGGCTTGTTTGAGCAATCTACATGTGCGTTTAATAATGAAGTGTTTGGCACAGTACACTGATTAGCCGCACCAACATAAACCCGCACAAAAGCCAATTGTGGAGTCGTCAGTGCCTTGTCCTTAGCAGTTGGCTTTACCGCAAGATATACTGAATACTCAACTATCTCTTTTGTTTTTTGTGCCGGTGGTGGTTCCCAGGTTAGGTGAGCCCCTTCTCTAATATCCTTTGATATTTTAATCGCTGAGGGGGCTCCGGGGTAGCCAGGTAGGCAAGTCTTAAAGCTTGATATCTGCGAAAAAATTCATTAACAAATAGTTTGAAATTTTATTATTTTAGCAAAGTTCAATTTAAAATATTTTTCACTTTAGTAATTTCTGTCTTCATTAAGGATTATAGACAGTGGTGTAAATATACAAACAAAAAGCCCTGAAATCGAACACACGTGTGATGTATAATACTTTGGATCAAGTATGCTAAACCTCTTAACACACTGGGACCTCATCAACACCAATATTTAGATTGCTGTTTATACGTCGAGGTATCGTCAAAGCTCTAGTTTATATACCCTTGCAGTTTAGATCGGATATTAATCACAAATATCGGACATAGTGCCCCGATCGTTATGAGAAATTTACTAAAAAACCAAATTATTAGAATACAAAATTAAAAAAAAAACAAGGAAAGCTAACTTCGGGCGGAGCCGAAGTTGATATACCCTTGCAGTTAAAACCGGGTATGAATCGCAAACATCGGATATAGTTATCCTTATGAGAACATCATAATAAAACCAATTAATTACAATAAAACATCTAAAAAAAAGTCCCAAGCTTCTATCTTCAAAAATACCAAGGTTGGTATTTCTACCAAATACCACTTCCGATCGTTCAGTTATATGGCAGCTATAAGATATAGTCGACCGATCGTTATGAAATTTGGTAGGTCGGATTAACTGACCAAAAATATATTTTATATACATATAAATATATTTTATATTGTATAATACAGAGTATACTCTGTACTAAGTTCCAGCATTCTATCTTCAAAGTTGGGTCATTTCCGATCGTTCAGTTATATGGCAGCTATAGGATATAGTCAGCCGATCCTTAAGAAATTTAGGTAGGTCGGATAAACTGACCAAAAATATAATCTGTACCAAGTTCCAGCTTTCTATCTTCAAAAACACGAAAGTTGGGTCACTTCCCTCTCTTTCTCTTAAGCGAACGGTCGTGTTTTTTTTGCGCGCACTGCGTTTATGATAAATATTGGTAAACCGGTGTTTACTCATTTGTGAATTGAATATATTGAGAATCTTAAGAATCTTAAGCTTAAACCGTATCGCTTCGCGAGTGCTGTGGTATATTTGGAGTCGAATTAATAATTTCAATTCCAAGCATAGCTCAGCTCTGCTTCTTCCCCGTCTTATCTCTATTTCTGCATTTTTCTTTTGCACTCTCCAAAGCTCCCGCTTCGGCTTCCTATTTGGCACAGTGGTTCAAGGTATAGTGTTTTTTAACTTTTTATATACTAATTTTGTTTAATTTATTAAAAAAAACAAGAAAGGAAAGCTAACTTCGGGCGGAGCCGAAGTTTATATACCCTTGCAGTTAAAACCGGATATATATCGCAAACATCGGATATACGTCCCAAACTTCTATCTTCAAAAATACGAAAGTTGATATTTCTACCAAATACCATTTCCGATCGTTCAGTTATATGGCAGCTATGGGATATAGTCGGCCGATCCTAATGAAATTTGGTAGGTTGGATCAACTGACCAAGAATTAAATCTGTACTAAGTTCCAGCTTTCTATCTTCAAAAACGAAAGTTGGGTCATTTCCAATCGTTCAGTTATATGGCAGCTATAGGATCGGCGGATGAAATTTGAAATGAAATTTAACATGTAATGTTTGGCCAAAAATAGCTCTCATATAAATTTGAAGTCTCTAACTCGTTCCGACTTATATACTGCGAGCAAAGGAAAGAAGGGTGTGTGCAAAGTTTTAAATCGAGACTAGAGACTAGTTTGCGTACGTATTACATATTTTTGAATTGTATGTTTACGTTCCAGGAGTTTTTTTAACCAGTTTATTAAAAAAAAAAATTTTAAAAAAGTCCGAAGCTTCTATATTCAAAATTACCAAATTTGGTATTTTTAACAAATAAATACATTTGATCGCTTAGTGATATGGCAGCTATAGGATATAGCTGCCGATCCTATCTGCCGAACCCAATAAAATCTGTAGAAAATTTGAACCTTTTATCTTCAAAAACTCGAAAGTCATTTTCGATGTTTCTGTTATAAGACTGCTATAGGATAGTCGGTCGATCCATATAAAATTTGGCATGTCGTATTATTTTGCCAAAAATAAAATCCATAGAAATGTCTAAAAACACAGTTATGGCATTTTCGATCAGATATACGGCTATATTAAGAATACATATATATTCTATATTAAAAATATACTTTATGGTTTACTTTTGACCGAAATTATATTATAATATCCTCCGCAAGAGTATAAAAGTATTCTTTAAAGAAAAGATGCTCAAACCGTTATCTTTTTTCGGAGGCGCCAGCAAGTCGTGCCAGAGCTTCGTGCCAGAGCTTCGGTGCCCTCGATCAGCGAACCGTGAAGATTTACAAAAACAACGTTTTAAAATTACGCGCTTAGGAATTTTTAAGAGCAAAAAAGTCCCGAAAACCCGTTTTTTTTTAAATAAATCAAGATTTTGTCTGAAAAGAAAAATGTGTTAGAAAAATTTCAAACACGGTTTTATACTATATTCGACCACTAACCATACAGCATATAGACAACCCATTTCATACAACGAAAATGGACGCATAAGTTTCTTTCGACAGGCCCCATCAGGCCCTAAAGAGGATTTCTTACGCTCTCTTACGCTCATCGTTCGTTCATCTTACGCTCATATTCTCATAGAATGCTTTCTGTTTCTCAGTCGCTGAAAGGAGCGCGACGGAGAAGGTTGGTCTGCGCTTGGATTGTTCTTTGTATGTATGCGTGTCACACATTCACATACACGAGTGTATGTGTGCGTGCGATTTTGTTTCGAAGCCAGCGCACAAAATTTTGATTTTTCTATCTTTTCAGGCTGTCTACCCTAACAAAATTCGGGTATTCGTTATTTGGTGAAATGACGAAAGAAATAATATTATTTGTTATATTATATTTTTTAATATTTCAACATACATTTTAAATTTATTTAGGAATGAGATTAGGTGTTAGCAGTAAAATGTTTTGTATATATGTATACATTTTTAAGAAGCATTAAAAACAATATACTGAGAATGGAGCAGGGTATATTTCAGTCGACATCACTTAAAACGCCGATTGCTTTTAAGTTTTTTCTTGTTCTGCATGAGAACTGTGCTTGCATACCCTACCCAAATCACTGTCGCACTGTGTAGTCTGTCCGTCTGTCTTTTTCTACGTAAACTAGTCTCTCAGTTTTAAAGCTATTGACTCTCAACTTGCACACACCCTTCTTTCCTTTGCACCCAGTATATAGGTCGGAACGGCCGAGATCGGGCGCCTCTACCCTATAGCTGCCATTAAACTGAACGATCGAAAATGGTATTTGGTAAAAATACCAACTTTGGTATTTTTGAAGATAGAAGCTTGGGACTTTTTTGTAGCTTTATGTTTCCGGTTTTAACTGCAAGGGAATATCAACTTCGACTCTGCCCGAAGTTAGCTTTCCTTTCTTGATATGTAGTGGTTATTATAATTTTAGTAGCGCGTTTTTTGTAGTCGAAAACATTTTCGCAACGAGCCAACAACGTCATGACAATGTTATATGGACATTTTGATTGAAAACTTGAAAAATAAATTCTTAAAATGATTCCAATGGTAGTTGAATTGACTTAAAAACAACCTCTGACTTTGGACTAAATATTTACTTATCGGTACCATCTACTTTGCGCCCACCTGAGCATACAATTTATCCGTATAAAGATGAAACTGGATGATCAACATAGGTAGCAGTTTATGGTGCATGCAGTGACTTAAAGTGATGCACAGAGAGAGCGGCCCGACGAGACATTGCGAAGCTAAAGCTCTTAATAACGGAGAGGGCGGCCCGACCTAGACATTGCGGAGCTAAAACTCTCAAAAGATAGGCTCGATGAAGTCGAGCGGCCGAGCGATTTGTACACACTTAAGCCTAATAAAAAACTTGCCTGACCCGACAATACCCTTGCAGTTATTGATAAATTCATATTGTATATCGCATATATCGAATAAATTTGACTGGTATGTTAATTTCATTAAAACTATCTCAATTTGGCAGTTCAGATTAGTTGACAAAAAATACCAAAGTATTGGTACGAGGGGTATTCAAAAAGTAAGTTTCCCTAGTCTGGCGTTTCTCTCAGACGCCACCTAGCGGACTCTAGCTGAACATAGTTTCAGTGTAGATTCTACCGATAAGAGCGGAATTGGTTTTGGTGGCCAAGAATACTTTTTTCAGCAGTACGAGCTCAATAATCATGGAGTTACCAGTGCAAAGCGTGTCCGATTGTGAATTACGTTCGGTTATTCGTTTTTTAACTGCAAAAGGGTTAAACGGTAATGAAACTCACAGTGAATTGGTGTCTATTTATGGTGAAGACTGTATGAGTGTGCAGATGGTGCGAAGATGGCGCACAGATTTTCTCAACGGACGCGCAGAAGTGCACGATGAGCAGCGTGCCGGACGCCCAAAAAGCGCCATTACGGACGATGCGATTGCAGCGGTTGAAAACATTATTCAGGAGGACAGACGATGGACTATTGACCATATTTTGGAAATGATGTCTCCTAAATGTCAAATTCACCGAACTTCAGTCCAGCACTTCGTTTCAAATGACGAAATCAAACAAGTCGTCAAATCGTGGATCAAAAAACAGGGCACGGAATTTTTTAAGGAAGGTTTACTTAAGCTTTCACACAGATACCAAAAATGTATTGTAGTCCAAGGCGACTATGTAGAAAAATAGTTTAAGAGTCAAAGAATAAAATAAATTCATTTTTACTGCCTAAAACTTGTTTTTTATTTATCCCCCAACGTAGGGAAACTTACTTTTTGAATACCCCTCGTATTTCATAGATACTTGCTATGTTTATGAAAATAACCCCTGATTTGATTTAAGTAGATGTGCCAGCCGTATATAATTAGGTATTTTGGTCTGGTCAAACTTTCACAAAAAGTAAACAAACCAAGCAACTCGATGGATAAACATAAATTCTTCATTTACAATCGGCAAATAAGAACCTGAAAATTAATTATTAATAAAACATTTATGCATTTATTAGTCATTATATAAGGCAAGTATTACTTAATACTTTTACTAGTATGTTCTGCGTTGCCACCTGATTTGAATAGCGTTAAGTTGGTTTGCCATCACCAATTCATGCATTGAGACTGAAATCATAGTAAACTTTCGTGAGTTGCCGAATTCACGAAATGGCGTTTATGCACACACGAATCGGCTGAAATTGTGAATTCGGTATCGCATAAATACTATAACTGGTAGATAGATTTAAACTCATATATTAGTTGACGTGGTAACAGACAGATTTCTCATTCACAGCGCTGTAAACTTTTGAACAAAATTATAATACTCTCGGTAAGGTTTTATACCCAATAATAATGTGTAAGGGAGAATTTAATTATAATAGAATTAATAATTTTTGTTCTAAATAATAAAAGTTCTCTGCTTTGTTTGAAACGCTGAGATCGGATGGCGCTCGTTTTAATGTAGCATTCGTAATTTGAGTGCAATTTTTCTATGATCTAAGAAATTCATTGCTGTACTCCGGATTACTAATCTAAACAGAAATAAAAACAAGAAAGGAAATCTAACTTCGGGCGGAGCTAAAGTTAATATACCCTTGCAGTTAAAACCGGATATATATCGCAAAAATCGGATATAGTTGGCCTTTTGATTACATCATAATAAAACCAATTAATTAAAATAAAAAATCTAAAAAAAAGTCCCAAGCTTCTATCTTCAAAAATACGAAAATTGATATTTCTACCAAATACCATTTCCGATCGTTCTGTTATATGGAAGCTATAGGATATAGTCGCCCGATCCTAATGAAATTTAAGAGGTTGGATCAACTGACAAAAAATATTATCTGTACTAAGTTTCAGCTTTCTATCTTCAAAAACACGAAAGTTGGGTCATTTTCGATCGTTCAGTTATATGGCAGCTATAAGATATAGTCGGCTGATCCTTTTGAAATTTGGCATATCGTAATGTTTTGCCAAAGTTATACCATTTCCGATCAATCAGTTATATGGCAGCTATAGGATATAGTCGGCCGATCCGGGCCGTTCCGACTTATATACTGCGTGCAAAGAAAAGAAGGGTGACGATAGCTTTAAAACTGAGACACTAGTTCGCGTAGAAACAGACAGACAGACGGAGAGACAGACGGACAGACAGACGGACAGACAGACAAACAGACAGACGGACAGACGGACATGCTCATATCAACTCAGGAGGTGATCCTGTTCAAGAATATATATACTATATAGGGTCGGAGATGTCTCCTTCACTGCGTTGCACACTTTTGGTCAAAATTATAATACCCTCTGCAAGGGTATAAAAAAGGAGTTATACATACCTCTCCCCATTCTCCACGCCCACACGAATTAATAGCCGCAAGTCGAAAACGATATGCTGTTCCTGGTTCCAAACTGATTCGTGGATGCTTAATTAAATCGGGAAAGTTATCCAAATCAATACCGTTAATTAGAGCCTCACAATCTTCTTCTATATAACTTGTAACTGTATGTGAGAGATCCTTAAATATTCCAACGGTATGCCATTTCTGGTTGTCGTTTTGGGAGACATTTAAAGAAGGAACTTGCAAGGAATGAGATTGGTTCTGAAAATACATAAAAAGTTTTAAATAGGTTTTATATTTAAAACAACAAGAAACGAAAGCTAGTTTCGGGCGGAGTCAAATTTGATGTCCCCATCCATTTAAGATCGGTTCGCAAGATCGAAAATATTTTATATAGGTCGCCGACCTTTTCCGATTCCGGTCTTGCATTCCGCTCCGAGAACGCATTTGATTGTTAAAACGCAGCTTTCTGCACAAAAGCCAATTGTCGGGTCATGCAGCCGTCGGAATTTAACATAATTATTTATCTGTAACTTTAATCGAACAATAAAAACCCTGTATAAAGTTTTAAAACTAACATAATTAGTCTTTTTATCTTCTTTTTTTACATCTGAGAAACATTTAAAAAAAATTGAAAAATTTTGTTTTCGCTTAAAAAATTCTTTAGAGTCTTAAAATAATAATAATAACAAATAACATATCAAAAGATAGAGTCCGGCCAAAACGTCTAAGGGTCGAAATATTCCATTCTGCGGCGAAGCCTCACAGGAATATCACACAGTACTTAAAACTTTAAACGCGTTTTTTCTCGAAACCGCTTTTTTTGAGTTGGCCGAACCCATAACTCGAACAACTCTTAACCTATCGATCTAAAATATTGACAGTATACTCAGAATACCTATGTCTATCGACACACGAAGGATTTTTTTATATTGCTTACTTTTTTTTATGAACAATTTTGTGACGTTTTTTGTTCGTGAAAATTGAAAAGTTTTTTCAATCACTCACCATTTTGCAAAAAAATTAATATATCGAAAAAATCCTACGTGTGTCGATAGCCGTTGATGTACAGAAACTAACCAAACTTGATTTTTTTGTTTTAGATCAAAAATTAAGGACGTTAGGTGTTCGGCCATGGACCAACTTTAAAAAAAAAGGGCCTACGAATAAAGGCTGCAGAGCCGTTATTTTGTTTTCGATTTATTAAAAAAAAATTGATTTTGTACTTTAAATATAATATAATAAAAACTCATTTGCAAATTATCGATTGGCTCTTTCATTTGGCCAAAAAAAATTCCAGAAAATACGCTTTTTTTTCGCCAGTTACTCAGATGTTCCCCCTTAAAATACCTTCTTATTGGTAAATTTGCGACGTCTTCGCAACCGGATGCATTGTCCAAGTTCGTCGCAGACAAGCTGAACGTGGAGCCGAGTGATTAAGCCTGTGCTAAGCTTGTCAAAAAGGATGCTGACATCAACGTTTTTAAGTTCGTTAACTTTAAGTTGGGAGTTCCGGAGCAACATTTCCCTACATTCTTCAGTGATGACTTTTGGCCTATGTCGGTAAAAGTCAGCTGGTTTGTGCATAGCCTGCTAAGGATATTGACCTCCCGGCTATTCTTTTTTTACCACAATCGCGATCATCAAAAAATATCCAGTAAGGGGCGCCACTGGCACCGTTACGTCTTCTTCTTCACAAGCTTCAATTTATCACCTCGATTGTACTCTTGTGCGCTACCAACAACAAATGGCGTAGGTGTTAATGGTTACGGTTGACGCTTTCTTCAATTCCTCCAATACTTCGCTTTGTTTTCTGATCGATATTATCCAACAACAAAAACAACTTTTTACAAAGCGAGTTGTTTACATCTTATCTTCATTTGTGGATGTCCAGCAACATCAAGACGATGGTAATCGAGACGGCAGCACATCGCGGCTCATCTTATCTCTTTTCGCTGGGGCACTCGCTTTTCTTTTCGCCGATGGAAGATGTTTATTTACGTTTTGGACGTTTGGGTGGATCTTTGCTGCATTTCGATGTGCCTGACTATGAACGCTCAATGCTTTCACAGTGCACTGGATTTGCCCTGCAACTGGACTCTCGCAGGTCTACTGATGAGTCTAATGGAACTTTCTATGTGTCCTCGTCGGCTATCTTGCAAGCTATGCGTATTGGATATGCCTCCACATGCACCAGTACCAGGAATGCACTTTCGTCATTGCCGCCTTGCCGTAAAGCCTTAAAGTTCTATTCCAAAATATATCGGGAATGAAAACCAAGACCCGGATGGTATTCCTCAATTCTTCTGCCTGCGATTTTGATGTAATCATCCTTGTGGAAACGTGGCTCAATGACAAATTCAGCTCCTCTGAGTTCTTCGAGCCTAACTTGTACCATGTATTTCGAAAAGACCGAGATGCATTCAGTACCCAGTGTGGGCGCGGTGGTGGTGTGATCATCGCTATCCGTCGATCTCTTCAGGCCACACCACTGCGCCTTGGCGATTTTAACCTGAGCTCCATTGTCTGGTCTTGGGACCCGGAATCTCCCTGCATGCTACCTAGTAACGTTCATCAGAGTCATTAAATTGTAGTTTTAGATGATATTTTTAGTCTGGGCCTCTCCCAAGTAAATTCTATTTTTAATGATTTATCTAAAATTCTTGATTATATTTTTAAATAATTTGGTTAATAGTAAAGTAGAATTATGCAATGTACCATTAAGTCCTTGTGATATGCACCACAAGCCGTTAGTAATTCATATTGAGTTTTATAGTTTTTTGCCTTCTGCTTCACCCATTCCATATCTGAATGATACTAACTTGTCACTTATTAATGCCTCTTTTTAAGCCTTTGATTGTGTTTCCCTTTTTTCGGATGGGTCCATCGATGATTATTAAACTAAGTTCTTGGTTGTCCTTTTTAATATTATTGATACTTATGTCCCTGTAAAGGTACGAAGATCCTATAGGCTTCCCTGGTATACAAAAGGTTTAAAAAACTTAAACAATAGAAGGGATAAGCATTACAAACGATTTATAATGACAGGGGAGTCTCGAGCAGGAGAGCTGTACTGGCAATTTAAGCGGGAATTGGATTTCCTTAATAAGTTCCTCTACAATCAGTATATATCCGATGTCGAAGCTAGCCTTCGATCCAATGCTAAAGCTTTTTGGCGGTTTGTTAACAGCAAAAAGTCAAAATCGGACATATCTTTATCCATATGTTATGGTAATTTAGCAGCCGACTCGGGTCAGGGCGTTTCTGATCTTTTTGCAAAATACTTTGTCTCTAACTTGGAGCCGCAGGTTCCTTGGAGTGATCATGAAACTCTTCTTAGCATTGAGCCGTTTCTCAATGTGAGTAACATGGACGTTTTGGACGGTGACTTAGTTGAAGCCACTGGACATTTGGCCGAATCGCTCACACCTGACGTGGACGGTATCTCCCCATTCTTTCTTAAGAGGAGTATCGCTTCTCTTTCTACTCCCCTTCAACTGCTGTTCTCCCTGTCGCTTTCATCTTGTTGATTCCCCTGCCAGTGGAAGATTACTTCTATAACGCCTATTCACAAAGGTGGCAGTAGGTCTGATGTTACCAACTATCGCAAAAATCCTATAGACCTATAGCCAAAATTTGCAACGTCGCTAAGATGCTGGGGCGGATAGTAACTAAAAAATTGACTTTTCTGGCTCGTAATTTTATATCCCCCAACCAGCATGGTTTTTTGCCTGGGAGTTTCACTACAACTAATTAAGCGGTCTTCTCTAAGCACTGCTTTGAAGCTTTTGAAAACCGATTTCAGGTTGATGCCATTTACACTGACTTCTTAAAAGCCTTCGACAAAGTGTGCCATGCTGCCCTTCTGGCCAAATTATATAAATTAGGTATTCATTCCTGCCTATCAAATTGGTTCGAGTTTTATCTGGCTGACCGACCTTGCCAAGTTTCTATTGGAGACGCTATCTCAACTCCATTTGTCACTTCCTCTGGTTTTCCACAAGGCAGCTCTCTGGGACCTATCTTATTTATTATTTTCATTAATGACATCTCTTCATGCTTTCGTCATTCCTACTTCTTAATGTATGCGGATGACCTTAAAATCTATAAAGCCACTAGTTGTATTAGGGACAGTTACAGGAGGATATATCCAGAGTTTACTCATGGTGCTCCCGTTATCTTCTTCCATTAAACTTATCAAAGTGTCTGATTACCCGTTACAGTAAGAGGTCACTTGAAATATGCTCGGGTTATTCCATCAATAATTATAGTTTGGCAGCTAAAAAGGAGGTGCTACTCCTTGGTGTCTTATTCGACAGCAAATTTAAATTGTATGGTCACTTAGACTATATTCTGCCTAAAGCGTATGCTTTGCTGGGCTTTGTGAAGAGGCACGTGAACCAATTCAAAAGTCCACACTCAGAGCTTAGGAAGGACATTGGCGTATTATTGGACATGGCTGGTAGTGGCAATACTAACAATTTTAATACTGCTAGACGATTTTTCAGCCAACCTGAGGCTGGAGGCATTTGTTCGGTCGAGGCTGGAATATGCTTTGATCATTTTGAATCCGGCTTGCAAATTTCGTTCCAACAGAATATAACGACTCCAGTAGAAATTTTTAAAATTTGCTCTTCTGCCTCTGAGGTTACAGGATCCTCTACCTTTATACCAGAGCCGCTGTCTTCTTCTCAATGTTTGCACGTTTCAGGATAGGCGTACACTGGCAGCTTTAAATTTTGTTAATAATGTAGTCGCTGATAACATTGATTGCCCTTTTTTACTGGGACTCATTAATTTTATTGTTCCTCAAAGGGATCTTCGTAGCTTTGCCCCCTTTCGAATCAAGTGTCACAGGGCCAACTATCTTTTAAATGAGCCGATTAAGCGGGTTTTTCATATTTTAACTCCTTGCCGCCTAGCTTTCGAATTCAGTGGAGCTATGATAAGGTTGTCTTCAAATGCGTGTTAAGGGGTTATATACCTTTTTTTTTCTTCAAAAAACGAAAAATTTTTTTTTGCTTAATCCTAAAGTATATCCCCTAGAGAATATTTTCCAAAAGTTTCATGGAGATCCGAATAATAGTTCGATAGGAAAAAAGCGTTTTGAGGCGCGGTTCATCACGGCTGCGGACAGCGTCAAGCAACTTTGAATGCGATTATCTCAAAGTCGTGTTTTTCCAAAAGTGCCTTCGCTGTGACCACGATTACACAAGAACTATTTGATCGATCTTCTTCAATTTTTTTTTAAATTATTCGTA